CTCATTCTCTTCGCATTTCTACAAGATTCTCTCCTCTCGCTGCAGACGAAGAATTGGAATTCGGAAGTGTTTACATATTCTTTCCTATGAGAAGACTCAATTCTGTCGTTACGGGGGCTGACATGGCGGTGCTCTTTCTGGCGGCAAATTCTGCGGCTAAACGGTTACGTGCCGGAAACACACGTGTCCAACCGGATGAGAGTTCCGGTGGTGGTGTTGAGAATGATCAAAACGACAGTGCTCCAAGGTTGAGTTTGGAAGGAGTGGAATCAGGGTTTAGTTATAGGTTAAGTTATTGCAGATCAAAAAAACCTTTTCTGGAGACTATAAATGAAGAACCAATCAGCTCAAGATGATAAGTTTAGGTTATTATCAATGTTGAGTTCGTTAGGTTAGATAGATATTAATTTGGTTAATTCATACGATACACTTCAAAAAAATTAAGTGCGGTTGTAGATGTGGCAAGCTATAGTATAATTCATCTGTACAAAATTAGTTTGTGGACCAAACAAGTTTGCGCGTGATATTTTATTGGCAACATGAAATGGGATTTATCTACAATTAGTTGGATGAGTAGTAAAAACACATGTCGGTTTATATTCAATACATGTAAGACTATTCAAGTGATTCAAGTGTGAATCCTTCAAATGAATGAACTGGTTTTCTTTGGGTCCGATTCAAAGGATAAGCATAGACTTTGCGATAAATTATAAAGTAAAATATTGCACAATGCATTTTTTTAGGTCAAATACTTTAAGTGGTCTTTTATATTTGACATTTATAAGGTTTGTTCATTTTATTATGTTTTTTAATAGTCAATTTAACTTAAAATCTATTGAAGTTTTACTAAAATTTAGTAGAGTTGGTGTTCTTTCCGTGCCTTTAGTTAAATTGTAATTTGACATTCTAAATTGTTTATTAAATGAATAATCACTTTAAAATTATTAATTGAAAGAAAGTGAGAGATTCTCATATTTAAGGGAAATCTAAATATAAAGTTAATAAAATTTAAAAAAAAGATATTGAACAACATGAGGTTGTTGCTCGTATAAGATTAATTGTACTAATTAAGGATAATGAGTTTTCATTCCTGAGTACAATGCCCCCTAGACGTACGTGTAGTTTCACCGAACTGGGTTAATAATCTTGTGTGTTCCTTTATTACTTTTTTGTTTCATCATCTTGTTTATCAATTGTTTGTTGATTCTGGTGTAACATGTTGAGCACCATTTCCTAAACATCTTGTCCAATATCTGTCACATAAGAACATAATTTTCAATTGACATCAGAGCTGACACCTTGTTTTGTTTAGGTGAACTCCAGGAAATATATTTTCTGTTCAAATGAATATCACTAAGGATGGAGGGCAGTTAATAGACCACCTATATATTGGATGACACCAATTATAATTATTGAAAAGCTAAGATGATTTCTTTTCTCAAATTGATGGACAACAAAACATAGAAGATTGTGGTAAAAGGTTGGAAACATCATGTTATTGTTTCTCAAGATGCTACATTAAGCTTAAAGCCAGAAGCCAAGTGGATTAATGCATAATATAATGAAGTTCTTGGAAACTCGAAGGTTTTGATTTATATTTTCAATGGTGTTGACAAGAACATGTTTAGATTGATCAACACATGTACTGAAGCCAGAGATGCATGAGACATTCTCAAAACTGCTCATGAAGGCACATATAAAGATAGGATGTCAAGGATACAACTTCTCACCAATAAGTTTAAGAATCTCATAATGAATTTATATGAATCTATTTTTGACTTCAACACCAAACTATGTGACATTGCCAATACTTCATTTGCATTAGGAGAGAAGATGTATAAAGAGAAGCTAGCCAGAAAAATCCTAAGATGTTTGATATGAAGGTCACAACTATTGAAGAATCTTACGACCTAAGCAACATCAAATTTGATGAACTTGTTGGTTCTTTATAAACTTTTGAGATAACATTGAATGACAGATTTGAAAAAAAGAACAAAAGCTTATCTTTTGTATCCAACATTGAAGGGGATAAAGATACAGGTGGAGAATGCTTATCAGAGGCTATAACCCATGTTGGAAGAAAGTTTAACAACTTCTTAAAGAAACTCGACAGAAAATGAAGGAAAATGTTTCATACAAGGTGTCAGACATCAACCCCCTGAACAGAGGCAAATAAGCACAATGTTATGAACGTGAAGAGTTTGATCACGTTAAATATGAATGTTATACTTTTCTAAAGAAATAAAAAAGGGATTGACAATCTCTTGGTCTAATTTTGATGATGAAAGTGAAGGAGAAATACCTAATAAGATGATGGCTTTCACAAGTAAATATGACTCTTGCAGTGCGTCTAGTGATCAAGATATCTTAGCAGAAGAACTAGCTGACACATATCGACAATTTCTCACTAAGTGGAAGAAATCTTGCTTGAGAGAAGAAAAACACAAAAAGACCATAAGTGTTTTACTCAAGAAAAGTATAATCTTGACTCAAACATTGCAGATCTAGAAGAGGAAATCACATTGTTAAAATTCAAACTTGACAATATGATAAAACCTCTATGTATGTTGAACAATTGTTATGATATGTTAGATGAGATCTTGGAGATTGGGGATAAGAAGGATATGAAGTTTGACTATAGTTTTATGAACAAAAAGGTCAAAATTCCCTCTAAGAAGTTTGTTACTCCTGAAAAGAAAATTGAGTTCCTGATTAAGGATCACATGTCACAGCATCTCGCACAAAATGTGTACCCTCATACTAGAGGGAAGAAAAACTCATCTTGGAGGTGTTACCAATGTGGTAGATATGGTTATATAAGACCTTTTTGCTATAAACTGAATGGATATCCTCAGTTTTATAGCTATCCAATGCCCAAAAGGAAGAAATGGAAGAGAACTCAAGCTAAGAAGGTGTGGAGGGCCAAGGAAATTGTACCCTGTCTTATTTCTCATACCTCTTAGAGTTTCATCAAGCTAAAAAAGTTGGTGCGTCCAAAGTGTATAGATAAGTTATTTGTTGGGTGAGGTGAATGTTTTATACTAAAATGTGTTATTTATAGTATTGTTTTGTACTTCTATCGAGTTTAAGGGTTAATCTCTTTAAAATAAAACTTTTTGGAATTAACTTGGAAGTTAAATTTTTGCAGGATGCTGAAGCATTCTTGTATTGTAGTGTGGCCTCATTTCCCTTCAGTTTTCTGGGCATCATCATTGGAGCTAATCCTAGAAGAAGATCCACTTGGCTCCACATCATCTCTAAATTTAGAAGCACACTTTGAACTTAGAAGATGAGAATGCTATCTATTAGAGGCATGATATTTCTCCTCAATTCTATCCACAATTCCATGCCCATATACTTCTTTCAATTCTATAAAGTGCTCAAAAATAATGATTTAAAAGCTCATCAAACTTCAACGTATTTGAAGTGTTCCTTTTGTGAATTCTTCTCTCCTTTGGGGAGGGGATAATGAGAGGAGAAAGATCATTTGGATTGTGTGGGACTGAATCTGCATAGACAAACTTGTATCGAAAGTGTTCCTTTTGTGAATTCTTTCTTGCCCTTTTTGTTTGTGCTAATCCTTCATATGTTAAAGTAACATAGGTTAGGTTTTAGAGGGAGAACACTTGGATTTGGGGAATCCCTCTTCTTGATGTTAATCTTAAACACTTGATCTGAGACATCCATCTTCTTAATATGTTAATCTATCTCATTGAGGTCAAGCCTAAAAGGCACACCTGTATGTCATTATGCATGTCATTATGCAGGATATTGAACTAAGGCTAGAGAGAATAGGTACCTTTGTGTGATGGAGAGACAAAAACAGTTTTTTGGTCAAGTCTAGCTATATCTCCCTAACATAAGTTTTTTTTGCAGGTCCATTTTGTTAGACTTTGCGCTTGTGGCTTTGAACAAGATTTGGGAATCCAAAGCTCCTAGTAAAATTCAAATTTTTGGATGGCGGCTCATTCTCAATAAGTTACCTACCAAGAATGCTTTGTGCAAAAGGGGATTGCTGGAAAACACTCACAATCTTGTTTGTCCAAACTGTTTCAGAGTACAGAAGAGTCTAAAATTCATATTTTCTTAGAATGTCCTTTCACTTCTCACTTAAGTAGTTTAATTTCTCATTAGACTGAAGTGAATAGGGTGGGGGAAGCCCTATCCTTGATTAAGAACTTAAGTGATTTCAACAATTGTCTAGAAGGTATATTCCTTGTAGCAACCCTTTGTTTGTTATCATTGACTACCACTTGACCAATTTGGCTATTCAGAAGCAATACCATGTTTAATGATGGTTTGAAGAGAGTGGAGGACACATTGGATCATGTGAAGTCAGTCTCTTGGAATTGTGTGATGGTTAGAAATAAAAGTTAATTTGATTGTTCTTAATTAACTGGTGTGATTTGCCGATTTCTTATTTTATAAGACAATATTAATTTCTTTTATTTTGAGTTAAATACCTTTTATTTTCTCTTTAATACAATCTTTGCGTATGAAAACAATATATATAAATACAATCTTTGCGGTCAACAAGAACATTTTATAATTCTGTTAAATTCGGTATTTATGAATCCACTCTAGTTAGAATTTTGTTAATATTGCATTTTCAAATAGTGCAAATTCTGCTGCATACTAATATCGCATTTGACCTTCCTCCCTTTTTCCCTTACCACTACGCGCATTATAATAGTCTCATCATTCTATTTCCAGCCCACACACCGGTCAACAAATCTCAAACCGACACACGCACATGTAACTTTCATAAAATATAATAAACAAGATGCACCTTCACTTCAATGTCCTATATACTTTTCTAATTATATTCCATTGACTATATGCTTCCAAGACTATTATTCCCCTATATAAATACACTTATACCTTCTCCTCAACCCATTCAAACCAAAATACAGACATTTTTATTTTCTCTCTTCAAGACTACCAGCTCTAGATATATTAAGTCCAAGAATATCAAATTAGGGTTTACTTTTATCATTGTGATGGGAAATTACGTCTCATGCACCTTAGCACCACAGTTGATGAGGAACGCGAAAGCAACTAGGGTGATTCTTCCAACGGGTGAAGTGAAACAATTCAGAGAAATAATGAAAGCTGCGGAGCTTATGTTAGAGAATCCAAACTATTTCGTAGTCAATTCTCGTTCTCTTCGTATTTCTACAAGATTCTCTCCTCTTGCTGCAGATGAAGAATTGGAATTCGGAAATGTTTACATATTTTTTCCTATGAGAAGACTCAACTCTGTCGTTACGGGGGCTGACATGGCGGTGCTATTTTTGGCGGCGAATTCTGCGGCCAAACGGTTACGTGCCGGAAAAACACGTGTCCAACCGGATGAGAGTACGGGTGGTGGTGTTGAGAATGATGAAAAGGAGTGTGTTCCGAGGTTGAGTTTAGAAGGAGTGGATTCAGGATTTAGTTATAGATTAAGTTATTGTAGATCAAAGAAACCTCTTTTGGAGACTATAAATGAAGAACCAATTAGATCAAGATGAATGAATTAAATAAGTGTTCTATGATAGATCTTGGATGATGTTAATAGAATTGGTTAGGTTAGATAGATATTAATTTGGTTGATTCATACAATACACTTCAAAAAATTATGTGAGGTTGTAGGTGTGGCAATATGTACAAAATTCATTTGTGGATTAAACAAATTTACGCGTTATAATCATGCTATGATATTTTATTAGCAACATGGAAAGGGGTTTATATTTCGTTAATTCGATGGACAGTGAAATAAAACCTACTTTCGTTCTTGCTTTCTCTTAGAGAAGATTTAAGTGTGAATCATTTAAACAGGTGAAATATTTTTTTTGGACTGATTCAAAAGGATGATAGTAGACCTAGGAATGGATTTCTCGAGGGCTTCTTTTTTCTGCAACCTTCTTTAATTCAATTCATGACCAATTAAATTTACTGTGTTCTAACCTTTTCCAATATCCATAAAGAAGGTCCAATGGAAAGCGCTAAAAGAGAAGTCACGCTCAACCTTCGTCTTTATCACATCTTTCATAATTTCTCTCACCGTTTTTATGTAATCGAACGGTTACACTCACTACTATAAAATAGACCTTTGTAACACTAATTTTATTACGGTCTTCGTGTTAACCGTGCTAATAGTTTATTTTTGAATGTTTTTTTTTTAAATTTTATTTACTAGAGGACATGTCACATCGATCATATGTAACAACTGTAATGAAATGTACTTAGAGTGAAATGGTTTGAATCTCAACACCAACAATTTTTCATTTATCGTGATAATAATGTGATTGGCCGTATATATCACCACGGTTTTTATAATAAACCGTAGTGTAAGTTTTAATCATTTCATCACGGTTCTTGTTGTCAACCGTGGTGAAAGGTGCCACTTATTTATATATAAGCGAAATAATCTCTCGCTTCAGTACATAAAAGTCGTCTCTCTCTCTCTCTCAAAACAAAACCCTAACAACTATTTCACTCGTCTCTCTCAAAACGAAACCCTAACATCTTGTCACTCGTCTCTCTCATTGGAAACCCCAAAACAAAATCATATCAAATCTTAGCTAATGACTATTTACAGGTTCATTTTCACTATAGTTTTTGTTTCAAAATCTGTTTATGTTTCAATAGCTTGTTTCATAATGCTTGAAGTTTCTGATTGTTTTGACTTGTAGGTAGGGATGCTTGTTTCAATAATGAGGACGAAACTAAAGTTAGCATTGCAAATTTGTGTGAATGATCCAAAATGACATCCATTCAAAATAGACACAAGTTTGTGGCTCTAACTTCAGCTTCATCCTTCCTTCATTATGGTCACGCCATTATAGGACATGTATGGTACGTTTCTGAAACATTCTATGACTTGATATATTTGTTGTATCATGTATGTTGTTTATTGTTTGTTGTTGATGCATGTTTTTGATGAATGTTGTTGTTAATGTTTGTTTAAAAGATGAGTTTAATATATATTATGTGCTTTGAGTGTTTTTCCAATCACTTACCGAATATATAAATTTTCATATTGCATTAGAAAATTATAATATGATAGATGAAGTTATATTAGAAAATAAGTAAACGTTCAATTCTTGACAAGAATTCTTCAATCCATTATCTGCATGTTGTTCTTTAATCGTTGGAACTTTATTCAATGACTGTAGTTCTTCAACCACCCCAATTTCCACATTTAATTTTATTTGGAAAGTAAATAATATTTTTCAAAATGAACTAGAGGGGAAGGCAAACGTCGTTGAAGAACTAGGATAATTAAACAAAGTTCTAAGTGTTAAAGAGCAAAATATGGATAAGGAGTTGAAGAATCTTGTTAAGCATTGAACGTGAACTTGTTCTTCTAATATAACTTAATTTGTCATATTAAAACGTGTCACCTGTAAGTATACATGTATGTTTAAAAGTAGCAAGTGATAAAAAAAAGGATATCATACCCACATAAAGTGAATGTTACTTAGATTGATTTTGCAATAAACTATTTAAAAAAAAACATGAGCAAGGATAAAAATGATATAAGAGTGTCACAAGTTCAATTTTATTATTTAACCAGATCTAAATAGTGTAAAGTGAGAGTGAGACTATATCAAGAGAATTGAAGTGTAAAATGTGAGAACTAAATAGTGTAAAGTGTAAAAGTGTGAGAACTAAATAGTGTAAAGTGTAATAGTATTCACCCTCACTTTAATGTGAGAACTAAAGTGAGAGTGAGACTATATCAAGAGAATTGAAGTGTAAAGTGTGAGAACTAAATAGTGAGAGTGTAATAGTGTTCACTTTACATTAAATACGTGTGAGAACTAAATAGTAGCTACGATCCATTAATATTAGTGAAGTAAATGTGTGTTCATGATGTGTCGTTTCGTGCCAAAAAGGGTCAGAGTGATCTAGAAGTGTATTTCTATAACATCAAAGTATGCATTATAAGGAAAGGGAACAAATCTCTAAGTCACACTTATAACCTTACAATACGTCGATTAGTATTCTTAAATCCCTTAGAGTGCTAGTTCCTTATGTCTAAGTGAACTAATCAAGTGAATATCTTTATCCTACTTTTTACAACTACTTTTATTATGAAATCCACTTGTTGTTGGATCTCTCACAATAACAAGTTGTTATCTTTTTCTAAGTTGATCATTAAAAAAGAATAGGATTTATATGCAAGTTATCACATAATAAAACAAGACACTATATAACATATCACTTAACATAAAAACAACATAACATTAACTTCCCATTGCTCAACAAACGAAAGGTTTATCTAATGATGAGCTGAGTACAAACTACATATATGATTCTCAAAGGATACACTCTTAAATAAATAATGAAAAAGAAATGCAAACCTAAAAGTAACTTGAAGACTTTTTGAGATGTATAATCAGCAAGAGATGATTTCAGTCGCGCCTGGGCTCAGCAACTGGTACAAGGAATGGTAAGAAGAAGAAACTCTCTCTTTTCTCTCCATTATCATAACACTATTATTTTTTGTATTTTCTCTTTGAATGTTGAACTCTCTTTTATCAGTCTCTATCAAGGTCTATTTATAAGACTTCACTAGGGTTCCTTGTAATATCTTAGATCATGAGCCAAAAATGAGAAAATTAAATTAAGCCCATGACATAAATCAAAGCCTTCACATCATTCCTTCTTCTTAGTATGAAAGGAATCATGTACAAGGGAACAATTGTGGGGGATAAGGTGTCTTGTGACACACTGCCACAATAGGGTGCATGTGGTGCTATCTTTTTCTTGTAGAGTGCACAAATTAGTGGGTTTACTATTGTACCTTCTTTTGTCCTCTAGAGTCCCTGGGTATTTTCCATTCTATTCAAAGGAATTGTCTTCAATGCAAAGCAAGGATTCCCTCTAATGTATCAATCCTTCCACGTTTGCTCTAGGAACCCAGTTGTTTCTCCATTTTTCTCCTTTGGCTGAGTTCATCCTTTTGCTTTAGGTTGCGCTTTCAGGTGTTGTTCGTTGTAGTCTTGTCTCAGCTCAACAAAGTTAACCTTAAAGCAGGCAACAAACACATCAAAATAACAAAAGGGAGCACATATTGTGCTCCAAGCAAATTATTATAAAAACAACTAAAATAAACTTAAAGTAACAACTAAAAAGCAATTTAACTAGTAATAAAGAAAGACTAAGGTATGTAATAACTCATAAAATGTGGGTTATCACACTCCAAAACTTGAATCATTATCTATCCTCAGGTGATGCGACATATAACGACAGAGAAACTTCTATTCCAAAAAACAACCTTTCTAAGCATCATTAACTCACGTTCAACCCAGAAATCATCTCAAACGACTATTTTCAAAAATTGGTACAACACAACCCTAAAGCTTGGTCACACTCGTACTCTTTAGTAAGATAGCTAGACTAGATTTAACTTTGGTTGCCTTATCATATGGTCTAAGACTTCAGTTTCCAGTTTTAGCAGGGTGTTATACCCTAACTTATACTTCTAATATTCCACCTATCATATCATTTGCATCACATCAAAATCACAAGCATGGTAGCCTCATAACCCCTCTTTGGATTTGCCTTTGGGGAGAGATCACCAAGCACCCTTTGTGTTTTCTTTGCTTATTTGTATGCTAAAATTGCTAACCCCATTCAAAATACAAAATATGTTTTATTTTCTCATTTCTTATTGTATAAGGTAAGAACTTGCAATCAAAGGATTAAGCTTGATTTCTAAATTAGGGTGTTGATTCCCAAAGGCAAAGTTTGGTCAAAAAATGATTCAAAAGAGCACTCATATCAAGGTATGGCCTATAATCTTAGGTCACATCCATGTCAAGCTTCATTCAACATCATTTTATCAAGAGAAGTTCATTTTTTGTGCATGGTTTCAAAGATAATTTAAGTATGGCTCATGTGTTTATTTCCATGCCATCTCCATCCAATTCTCAAGAAAACATAAAAAGTATTCAAGGGGCAATCAAGTTTCCCTCATTTGGTGTCTAGGTGTTCATTAATGGGCCTTTGGATGCAAGAAATCGAAAGAAATCACAAGTTGGCACATGTTTGGTTGGCCTAAAGTCGAGTATGACATGTCACTTGGTCCAAACACCATAACTTCTTCATTTTTCAATATTTTTGGAATTTTCTTTAAGCCAAATGTCACATTTGAACTCCTCTACAACTTTGCTTCAAGGGCCAAATATCAATTCAACCTATAAGTCCATCAATTTTCGGATTTGCTCAGCTGACCATGTATGCACAAAAGTAGGTCTAAGACCTGGTCGACCTAACCTAGCCTAAAATTTCAGGTCACAATTAATGCCATTTTCAATCCTAACATCCTTTTGGTTTGGTTTTTTTTACGTTTGATTCTATGCCATGAGAAGATCATTTGGAAAAAAGAAAATCTCAAAACGCACAAGTGGATTTTATTTGGCCTAAGCTTAAACATGGTGTCTTGAGCTCTACTTCTTGATAAACTTCAGGTCATGAGTTTCAAGCCAAATTCCAATTTGGTACCACCTGCACATGTGAA